AGTATAAGGGACAAGCTCAGGACTGTGGCTGGCGCGTGAAAATACAGAGCGTGTCGCGCAAGTGTGTGCTGCTGCAATTACTGCTACTGCTGTCACCGTCATTATTGGAGGGGAAGCTTCCAGACGCAGCGAGACCTCAAAAACGAGTAGGAGGTGGAAGAGGACCAAGGGAGGACACAGTCTGTCTGGAGACAGCTTGGTCCACCGGAGCCCAGCGTGTGAGGTGGACAGAGGTGGGACAAGATGCTGGAAGGCAGATCAGGAGTGGGGCCTGTGAGTCACGCCAAGACGTCTGCACTGGATCTAGAGCAAGGTGGGGGTGTCGGGGCCCGCGAGGCCTGTTGCACTGCTGCACTGCTGCTGTGTGTGTGTGTGCACATGTGTGTGCACGTGTGTGTGCATGTGTGCACACACGGGCTGAACCACAGGCTGCGCAGCGCCTGACCCCTTCAGCTCCTCCTTGGCGGATCCACGCAGCCACTCGTTCACTCCACGGTTTGGAGACCTCAGCCTCTTCCCCAGCGTTGAACCAGTCGGCTTCAACTCTCTAGCCCGGCGCTGTGCCAGGCTCCTACCCTAACCTGCCAGCGTTTCCCACCACCCTACATGGGGGGCCTCCCACACAGGCTACAGAAACACCAGATGTCTCAGCCGGGTGTGGTGGCGTGCACCTGTAGTCCCAGCTACTCGGGAGGCTGAGGCAGGAGCCTCGCTTGAGCCCAGCCCACGAGTTGGAGGCCGCAGTGAGCTATGATGGCACACTGTACTCTAGCTCAGACAACAGAGCGAGACCCTGTCTCAAAAAAAGAAAAAAAAAAAAGAAATAAAGATAAGAAACACCAGATGTCACCATTTCCAGACACCCCTGAAGTCCTGACAGCTCTGCCTTAACCTGCACGGGCCGACCCTCTGGAATGCCCCTCCCTCTAGCTGCCCGCCACTTAGAGCATAGGTCCTCTGCCAAGCACAGCACAGTGGCTAGGACAGAGGGCTCTGGAGCCAGACTCCTGGGGTTGAATCCTGCTCCGGCACTTAGGATTCTCGCGGTTAACCACGCAGCCCAGTTTTCTCATCTGAGAAGCAGGGAGAACAGCAGTGTCTTCCGGCTAGGGCTGCTGTGAGGAAGCAGTGCAGGTGCTCAGAGCACGGCCGGGCACCCGGTGGGTCTGCACCGCTCATCAGCATGTGCTTGATTCCTTTGCCTGGAGTCGAGCTCCTCTGTCTTCCTGAGTGCTCAGAGCGTGCTGGACACCATGCTGGGGGCTCTCGGGGGTGCTGGGGGGCCAACGTCAGGAGAGTGATGTGAAAAGTCGGGGCTGGAGGGTGAACGTGAAAGGATGAGCTCCTGTATCTACACAGCCCTCACCTGGGTCCCTGCGCACAGTAGGTCCTCAGATCAGGGTTAGAGAAAGAAACATTTACTGAGTGTACCCAATTGGGGCCAGGAGCTTTCACATTCATAGTCTCATTTTAATCCCCCACTGACCCTGGAGGTAAGTGTGCAAAGCCCCATATGCATTTGAGGTGGCTGAGGCTCAGAGAGGTTGAGTGACTAGCCCAAGGTCCCACAGTTCATCAGTGGCAAAGCTGGCAGCCAAATCCAGGTCTGCACCATACCCAAACCCAAATTCTTGCCCATGGGCCACGACGACCCAGGGGCAGGGGCAGTGACCAGGAAAGAGGCCAGAAAGAAGCTGCTTTGGGAACCATTCCCCAAAAAAGCTGTGGTGCAAGAACATCCCAGTGTCACGCTAACCAGTCCCGCCACCAGGGAGGCCACCTGCCTCCCTCTTCCCTCTCCGCAGTTTCCAGAAGCAGCATTCCGGAGGCAGCTGATTGGTGACCTCACTTCTAGTTACCATGGCCAAATGGTTAATGTTCATTAACTTAACCTGTTCAGCGGGGGACTGAAGACTTGGCTTGTATTAGCGATATGAAGCTAACGTATACTTCATGCTAAGTGGAGGCAGAGTCATGCCTTCTCTAAATGAAGAATCAGCTCTATTAATAAGACCACGTCACTCCAGGTAACGAGCCTGGCAGATGCTTTGCTGCAGGGGTTGAGGGAAAGACGACTAGGAAAGGAGCAAAATGATGACAGCATGGAGGATGGCAACTTTTCAGCAGGAGCAGATTTAGAGAGCAGAGGAGTCTGTGCCGGCCAACAGCCAGCACCGACGGCCAGGCACACAGGTGAGGCCAACCTGGACGTTCCAGGCCTGCCAGCTCTGCCGACAACTGCACGAGGGAGGCCAGGCCAGGAAGGAAAACTGCCTGGTCAACCCACAGAACTGTGAGAAAGAATCAGTTACTGCTATTTTAAGCCACTGTTTGGAGAGGTTATTTTGCAGCAATAAATAACGGAGACAGAATGTCAGCGAATGTGATACGAGCAAAGGTCTTCAATGTGCACGTTTGGTTTGCCTGCTCTGGCACCCTACTGATCTGCCGTAAGAAAAGTGTGCCCTGGGAAGTCGCTGCCCTTCAGTCTCACTAGGACAAACACAACACGTGGCACATATCCGAGCCCAGCCTGCAGCCTGGAGCCCAGCACACCAGCCTCAGCTAGAAACAGAGGCCATCTTGGATCAACCGAACCATAGCCAACCTGCAGACCCCGAGCATGAAAATATTTGTTCTTGTGACCCTCTGAGTGGGATGGTTTGTTACACAGTATCGTGATAGCTGACTGATACACCCATCCTCCCTCTTTATAAGTCACACATTTTTTTTTTAAGAGACAGGGTCTCACTATTTCGCCCAGGTGCTGGTTTCAAACTCCTGGGCTCAAGCGATCCTCCTGCCTCAGTCTTCCAAGTACCTGGGACTAAAGGCGAGGACCAGCTTAACCCACACATTGTATGGCAAAGACCCTGTTTCTATGATATGAGGACTGTACTCCAATTTTTCTTGAGAGAGAGTCTGACAGTGTAGTAACATTTGCACAAAGTAATGGTGACATGGAAAACAGCATTGTGCAGCCGCAGTGTTGTTGCCGCTCCACGAAGCCATGTACTGAAGCGGGTGAGAAGCTGAGGGCAGGGAGACACTGTGGGGACCCGGAAGGTTCCTCCCAGCAGGACACAGGGTCCCAGGTGGATTATCTGCAGTGGGCAGAGCAGGACAAGCAGGTGAGGGCTGTCTTACTGACTTGCTATACTTCTGGTGATGCCTGGGAGGGGGAAGAACGTATACAGAAAGGGAAGGTACAGTGTTTTCCGTGGAAGAAACAGAAACTCACCCTTACCCACATTCACCCCTGCTTCCTTAGTGGCTTTTGCCTGACCTCTGACCCAGCCTGGATCTTCCTGGTGAACACATCCCAGAGCTGGCTCCCTGGGCCCTTTGCACGGGGGTCCCAGGCTACCCAAAGCTACTGGAAATAGGACAGGGGTGGCTCCCATTGCTTTCACAGATGTGGACAAAACCAGGGTAGGGGCTGCTGAAAGCTACGAGAGAGGAGCAGGGACAGCGTGGAGAGGCAGGTGGCCCCACCGCAGAGCACACACACGGCAGCTCGGCCCTCCCGCAGTCAGTGCCAGAGATGGCACGTCCACCCTGCCTGGTAATTGTCCTCAGTCCGCCATGCTGGTGGGGAAACATTTTAGCAGAAGAAAGGAACAAGAATGACATGTGCCGCTAAGCTCCAGGGTCCCTCCCGTGCCCTCCGATCATGCCACGCTGCAAGTAACAGCAGTCAGCCCCTGACCCTGGCTTCCCCAGGCCTGGCCAATGGCTGCCCTTCCCACCCCGTCTTGCTCGCCAGCAGCTGGGCGGCGACTGTGCCACAGGCTCGGGCTGACCAAGGAGAGTGGCCAGGGCTCATCTGAGGGGCAGCCTCGGCTTGGCAGACACTGACGCGCAGGAGCTGCAATGTGACATTCTTGAGCTGACTCTGATCAACGACGGGTTTTAAAACTTGCAAAAATACCATACAGGGTACCCCATTTGCTCCTCAAAACAACCCCATGGGGCGGGTATCATTAACCCTGCTTTCTACGGGGGAAAGTGAGGCTCAGAGAGGCGTTCAGTGGAATCCTGAGAATGCTGGCTGCAGCTCCAGCACCTTCTCTCCCACCCACTCTCCGCTCTCAGGCCCAGGAGTCCCTGACTTAGTTCCTTCTCTTGCCTTCAGAGTCTTGTCACTGTGCGCCCCATCAGGAGGAGGTGAGTCCGTGTCCCAGGAACCCGCTCCAAGTGCCCCAAGCCCCGCAACTCACTCCCCCAACCAGCGCCCCCTCCAGGCAGCCTCTGCTGGCAGCTCTGCCCAAACCCTTCTGCCTTGGAGACCTCGCCCACTGAGGCCCGGACCAGCGGCCCTCAAGCTTCCTGCTGCTTCAGCACAGAAAGGATGACACTGGATGCAGGACACACTCCCAGAGGTGTCTGTGGTGGGCTGAGCAGGGCCCCACCCTCAGAAGGTACGTCCACCTGGAACCTGTGAATGAGACCCTCTCTGGAGAAAGGGTCTTTGCAGATGTGATTAAGTTAATGATGTTGAGACGAGATCCTTCTGGATTAGAGTGGGCCCTAAATCCAATGACACTGTCCTTACAAGAGAAGAGACACGGAGGAGAAGGCCATGCAAAGACAGAGGCAGAGCCCAGAGTGACGTGTCCACTGTCCAGGAACGCCAAGGAAGGCCAGCAGCTGCCAGAAGAGGCAGGAAGAATCCTCCCCCGGAGCCGTCAGAGGCCAAGGTCCTGCCGATACCTCACTTTTGGACTTCTCGTCCCCCTCATTCCACTCGAGAATGTGCATCAGGATGCAAAAGCCAGTGTCATTACTGAAGGACTGTCTGTCCCCCATCGCTCTAATTTATGCGACCATTTTCCAAACGGTTTAATTATTTTTTTCTCTATTTTAAACTACTTTCAACTTAACTATTATTTCTAAGAACTGGGAACACACTTTGCAAGGCTCATGACCCCTGGCCCAGAACCTCTGTCCTGTGGGACCAGCTTGGGAAGGGTTTTCATTCGGGACAATGATCCACTCACCTTTCTCCTGAGCCATCTCTTGCAGACAGAAGTAGATGACTCTGGCTCCCAGGCTGAAGCCGATCAGGGTGACGGGTCGCCGGCCCTGGGTGGGGGGAAAAGACACGGTGTCTGGAGGGGATCCAGCCAGTTCTAGCAAAACATCAGCCCTGAAGAGGGCGGCCTCTGCACACTCCTCAGCGCCTGCCTCTCCCTGCATGAATCATGCATGCCCTGTCCGCCCCCGAGCTCTGATGTCTTCATCAGGAGAGTCAGGGCCCTCATTTACGCAGGAGTGCACCTGCCGCTGGAGTCGGCTTCCTGCGAGGCCAACAGACAGCCTTTGGCTGGTTAATTCCCTTTCATCTCACACCATTATCCAGCCACCATCTCTTCTTCTCCAGGAGACAGGACTAGTCAATTACAAGAGCAACTTCCCCTGGACTCTCTGCCTTGTGGCAAATGACTGCAGCGCTGTGGGACCCCTTCTAGAGCTGGGGAGATCAGACAGAGGCACCCCCGTGTGTGATGGGTACAAAGGCAAAAGGGTTTTGCAGATGTGATCGAGTTAAGGATCTGAGATGGGAAACTACCCTGGGTTACCTGGGTGGGCCCAGTGCAATCAGGAGGGTGCTGACAAGGGGAGGCAGGAGGAGTCAGGCGACAGAGGTGACGTGATGACGGAAACAGAGGAGCAGAGAGAGATGTGGAGGGGTTACACTGCCGGCTCTGGAGATGAAGGAAGGGGCTCTAGGCTAAGGATGTAGGTGCCCTGGGAAGCTGGAACGGGCAAGGAAGTGGATGCTGTCCCGGAGCCTGCATAAGGAACGTGCATGTCGGACTTCTAACCTCCAGAGCTGTAACATATTAATAATAAATTTCTGTGTAAGATAATACATTTTTTTTAAGCCAATAAGTTTGTGTTAATTTGTTACAGCAGCAATAGAAAACTAATACATAGCATCTTGCCCTGGAGGCTGACACCCAGACTGCTACATGGGAGAGAATTAACTTCTATCTCGTTTGAGCCAATGCCATTTTGTCTTTGCCTTCCAGTCAAACCTGCCAAAGAGCTTTTATATTTCTTTTGACAAAGACACAAGGATTGGATGGGGATTAACAGTTTCCAAAGCAATTTACCCACATGGCAGAAGCTGCTAGTTGTCCCTTAATATCCGTCCTCACTTTTTTTTTTTTTTTTTTTTGAGATGGGGTCTTGCTCTGTTGCCCAGGCTGGAGTGCAGTGGTTTCATCATAGTTCAACTCCTGGGCTCAAGTGATCCTCCTGCCTCAGCATCCCAAGTAGCTGGGACTACAGGCACATGCCACCATGCCCAGCTAATTAAGAAATTTTTTTTTGTAGAGATGGGTTCTTGCTGTGTTGCCCGGGCTGGTCTCAAACTCCTGGCCTCAAGGAATCCTCCCACCTTGGCCTCCAAAAGTGCTGGGATTACAGGTGTAAGCCACCATGCCTGGTCCAGTCTCACTTTTTCCCATAGTAATTGCATTTCAGCTCAGTTCACTGCCATTCAATAAAAATTGTATTTCTCAGCTTCCATGGCAGCTAGGTATGGTCATATGACTAGGCTCTGGCCAATGAGACATCAACTGAAATGTTGGAAAGCTTTGCACTTTCTTCTTCAGCTCTTCCTTCCTCCTGCTCCCTGGAGCTCAGATGCTGCTATCTTGGACCACAAGGTCAAGACCACATATGGCAGAGCAACAAGGTAGAAGGAACCTGGGTCTCTACACCATGGCACACAATTTGAGCGTGGGACAGCCTCCCTAGGCTTTTCCAGGAAAAATAAACTTCAACCTTATTTAAGGCACTGTTGTTTTGGGTTTTCTCCCACTTGCAGCCAAAACAAATCCTAACAATATAGTCGTCTCTAATACTATTTCTCAAACTATTCTCTCCATTTACTCAAGTTCATTTTGAAGGGGACAGTTTCCTTTCCATGGTTAAGTACATCTTTACTGGATTCAAATTTTAAAAGTATTATGATTTCTCTTCCTGATCATTTTACATGGCGTTTAGACTGCTCAAGGTGTCCTCATTTGGTAGCTTTATACTTCTAGGAGGGAACACCTGCCACTAGCACCTGGAAATTCCACTTGTGGCCAGCTGAGGCACATGGTCCCATCACTTTACTGGCTTCGCTGCAAACTGAGTCAGAGGTTTCCACTGAAATATCGCCCAAGTGAGCCAGACCCATTATTACTAAACTCCTTCATTAAAAGCTGATACACAGGAGCCACTTTTGCTTCTGCTAGAGCCCCCAACCCTGTTCCTACCTGCAGATGCCCGTGTTATTCAGTCCTCACCTGACAGCTTGCTAGACATGCATAGTCTATACGGTCTGTAATTCTTCCTGGTCTATCCCAGGGCACTCGGCACCTTCATCACTTGGTCTAGAGACACACTAAAGACCACCCACTCACCCAGAGCCACTGGGCTACCTCCAAGTGGCTTTGCCTCTAAGGCTGATGTCTGTGCACAAGTCAGCACCCCCACTCCCCCTCCTCCCCACCCCCGCCATTCCCAGGTACCTGCTGCCGGGAGAGCAGGACGTGGGCCAGGTGCTTGCCAACCTCTGCGGATCGATAGAGACACACACCCCAGGGGTTGTCGATGACGTTGGCGACAGCGAGGAGTGAGGCTGGCCAGGTCAGGGCAGCCACAATGCCTGGGGGAGGTGGCATATCAATGATGAAGGGAATTGAGCGGGGTGGGCTTCTGGACAAGGGGCTGGCTGACCCCAGTGCTCCAGTGCATGCATGCAGAGTCTCTAACTTGGAACCTGCAAGTTCCCAAGTGTTGTCAAACTGCTCAAGAGCACCCTTCGCTCAAGAGCAAAGAAGTCTGAAACTCACGCATTTCTGATATATGGACTGGATTCCTTCTGCTCAAGCCCTTGTCATACGTGAGATTCTGAAGATGGCCCTGATTCTCACCCTACCCTGTATTCTCCCACTTTGCCCCACAACTCTGCAGGGCCCCACCCCCTACTTCCCCATCTAGACTCAGCCATGGGAACTTGCTTTGGAAAATGAGACTTAGTAGATGTGAGGCTTGAAACGGACGTGTGCATTTGGGGCCAGCCTCGCTTGCACTTCTACTGCTGGCATGGGCTAGCCAGGAGGAAGACAAAAGACAAACGGAGCAGCGCTGAGTTGCCCCAGACAAGGCTAGCCCCAAGCAGCAGACAGTTGGCTGACACACAGATGAGCAGGCCCAGCCAAGATCAGCCAACTCCACCTCCCAGCTCCTGCGATATTATGACAAATGATTGTTATTTTAGGCCATTGAGTTTTGGGGTAGCTTGTTATACAGCAACGGCTAACTGATACATCATGTGATTGGAGGTTTATCTGTCCCTTCCTCTCAAAGAGCATAAACAGGAATGTGGCCTTAGCCTCTCTGTGGTCCTAGGGTCCAGCACGGTGCCTGGCTCCCTGGGGGCCCAAGGCATGCAAAGATATGGTAGCACTGTGGGATGGACGCAGTGGGCATGCTGTTGGCAGGGCTGGAGGAACTTACCAGACAACGCTGTGTAGTTTAGGGCCTCCTGGGCCACCATGCTGGCAAGGCCACTGAGGATGGTCTCCAGGGCGTTGCCGAGCTCCATCAGGTACTTGGCCTCCCAGGCCAGGCAGTACTGCTCGCGGCTGTGGGCCAGGGCAGCCCACGGGGCGCTGAAGGTGCCTGGGGAGACACAGGTAGGTGGGGTCTCTCCTGTCAGTGGCAGAGGATGCCCCACCCCACTATCCCAGACAAGCAGCGACAGGGGACCACTCACCCTCACATGGAAAACAAGAGGCCCACCCCTGCCTGTGAGTGGCAGTGTCAGCAGAGCAGATGGAGCGCGATGCTGCCCCGTGAGTCAGCAGGCTGGGGTTCGAATCCCAACGCCTGCATTCATTAGAAGCTGGGTGACCTTGGGCACATCACTATCCCACCGTAAGCCTCACTTTGCTTATCTGTGAAGTGGGGAGGTTAATAGTTATCTCCCTTCATGGGGTAGATAGTAAGGGAGACCATTAAGTGTCTGAACTACTGTATATATAAAGTATTATTTTCTCTCACTCTGGCACTAAGCTGCTGACGACACCACAGGAGCACACGAGGGGACAGCGGCGTGGCTCTGGGAGTCGGCAGCATCTTGATTCAACGAACACTGACTGGGAAACAGCTAGAAACTCGGGGAGGAGGTGTTTGAGCCCAACTCTGCCGTGATCTTGCTGGGTCACTCAAGTTTCCTGAGCCTCAGTTTTCTCACTCAGGAAATGTAAAAGCCAAATGACCCCATGGCAGGACGATGGCCACAGTGGCCATGTCAGGTAGGAAGGTACATGACTGTCCACCTCCCCCTCTTCCTTGCCCAGCTGCTTTCGGACAAGAGCACAGCGGGCACCTCATCTGGCCCCATCCATTTCTGCCTGTGGCCCAAGTGACCCTTCCACATCACAGACCTCCTCCCACCCCTGTCTGAAACCCTTCACCATCTCCTGGACCAGTTCACCTGGACCACCCTGACTTGTCCTTGAGATTCCAATTCAGTCGCCTCTTCCACAGGGAAGCTCTTCCCGGCCCCTCGGATAGATCAAATGCACCCTACATCCCCCTGACACTCAAAGTTCTCATCACGGTCTGTAATTACACATTTATTTTTGCATCCTCTGGCTGGCACGCCTCTCCTACAGCCTGCTTTGCCACGCACCGTATTCCCAAAGCCTGGTGACGTGAGGCAGAGTAAGCATTCACACAGACACGGAGCATGACCGAATGGTTCTGGACATAGACCACGCCTCTACCTGCCCCCTCAAGTCCTCATCCTTACCTGAAGGGCCCTACGTTGACACAAAGACAATCCTGCAGCTGTGCCCTCTCCCTCTGCACGGACCCTGTCTCAGCTCTGCAACAACGCGGGTCAAATGCCTCTAATTATGGATAAAGTGACAGCCGGCCCTGAGAGAGGCGGCAGACACAGAATGCGGGCTGGGGGGCCAGGCCTTGCTGTGATGCTGGCCCAGGCAAGCTCCCAGCTCAGCAGCTTCTGCCGGCATGACCCACAGCAAGGCACGCTGCCCTGTGACCCTTGGTTTCCACATCTGTAGGGATGGAATAACAACATCTGACCCACGGGTGTGGCGGGGAATCACACGAGGTGCTGTGTAAAAAGCATTACATAAACTGTAAAGTGCTATACTGCGGTGTGTTGCCCTGTAGCTGAGAACATGGGCTGTGGAGCCAGACAGAATGGGAGTGAATCCTGCCCCTGCCCCTGGCTAGGTGGGTGACCCTGGGTACCCCGTAGGAGCCTCAGTTTCCGCATCTGTAAAATGGGGGAGCTAATGACACCCACTTCCTTGGCCTGAAGTGAGGAACTAATTGAGCTAATCATACCAACTGCCTGGCTCGTGGCACGTGGTTGGCTACTAAGCTACTATCTTTATTGCGTATAACCATGACTAATAAAGGGGCGGGCCAAAGAAAGTCCGATTGCTCCCAGCCAGCCTGAGATGGCAACAAGGCTCCTTTCCTGACTGTCGAGGAGGCAGGAATAGGTGATTTTTTTTTCCTTCCTGAACTTTCTCTAGCTTGGTTGTGTTTCTTTTAGTCATGGGTCCCACACTGCACCAGACTGCTGGAGATCAATGAAGACTATGTCCTTCCCCCAAAATGACCTTTGACCTGAGGCACACTGAGCAAATGGGGTAAAACAAAGATGCAGGATTTGCTTTCCATACTGGTTAGAATTGCAAATTCCTTCACCCAGACTCTTGTTCTTGCCCCTTCCTTTCTGTAGCATGGAATGGTGGAAACAAATGAAAGAGACCCTGGGCTCGAATCCTGTATCTGCTGCCCCCTGCCCCCACCCCACCACGTGCCCCGCTAGGTCTCCTCTTCCAACAGATCAGGATGAGAACAGCCCGTCCCAGGTGGACGCGAGGATGCCATGAGGTAATGCGGACCAAGTTCCTACCGTGCAGGTAAAATATCTGACTCAGGCTAGGCACAAGCGAGGTGCTCAGTGAACACTGAGGCCTTCTGTGTGGGGGTGCGGGCCTGGCGGTCACACCCCAGTAAGACCCTGGCGCCTGGGAACCACATTTTCTCACTTGCGTGTGGTTTAGAAGAGCTGTGGCTTCCACCCTTGGGTCTCAGAGACTTGGAAACCCAGGAGGCTCTGAGCATGTGTCCCTGGTCTCACGGATTCCCAGGCCCACCCTTCTCTCTCTGAAAGCGAAGTGCTGTTTGCTGTGCCCTTGCAAAGGGGAGCGAGGCAGTGAGTGGATCACTGTGTGACTCCTCAATGTCACCCTGCTTAGAATCCCCCAAAACACACACGTTCAAATTTCAGCAGCAAAGGGACTAATGTTTGTGGAATGTCACCTAGAAACCAGGTGCTTTCCCCATGTTACCTAGTTTCATTTAATTTTTGCAGCAACCCGAGAAGGCAGGAATAATTTGTTCCACTTTCCAAATGAAGTAGCTGAGGTACAGAGAGCGTAGGTAACTTGCCGTGGTCACATGCCAGGATGGACTGATTTCTCACCCGCGTGCTTAAGTCCACTTGTTCCAAGGACAGATTCAAACTCTTTGTCACAGCTCACGTGCTCCCGTGTGGTCTGGCCCTGCCTACTCTCCTGCCTCTTGTCCCCTGCCGCGGCCATCCTGTGCTCCTTTTGGTTCTTTCATACCACTGGGCCTTTGCACATGCAGCCCCTTTGCTTGGTATGTACTTTTTGCTCCTTCTTTAACTGGCTAACTCCCAGCTAGCCCATAGCCTAAATGTCACTTCCTCCAGGAACCCTCCCCAGACACACCACCTGTGCTTCCCCTACTGTGCCATCTGTAAAGCTTCCTTTTAATTACTTGGTCTATCTTCTATTTTGGACAGTACGATACATAGCAGAGACCATGGCTGTGCTTTTACCACTGAATTCCTAGGGCCTGGCTCAGTGCATGGCACATGGCAAGCACAGCACTCTGTACATTCCGCTGGGTGGATGGTGGATAGGTGGATGGGTGGGCGCACAGATGGGTGGACAGATGGGTGGGTGGATGGTTGGGTGGGTAGATGGATGTGAGCTGAAGTCATCTTACTTCTCTGACCCTCAGTTTCCTCTTCTGCAAAGTGGGCTCCCCATACCCACTCCCTAGAGACAGTCACAAGCACGAACCCAGCCCACGGTCTGGCCCACAGCAGCAGACCCAGCTCGGCCAACGCCCACCCCCTCCGCTCCTGGCCCTCCTGGTCCTCACGGTATTTGCCAGACGCGAGCCAGCCGGTGATGGCGATGGTGATGTGCAGCTGCCTGCCCTCCGTCAGAGGCAGGAACGTGAACTCTTCAATGGCCCCGACACGCTTCTTCATCTTGTATCCTGGAGACCCAGATACGAGAATGAGAATGGAGGTGACTGAGGCCCCAGGGAACATTAGCCAGAGTGGCTGTCTCTGCTCACACACTCACACAGTGAGCACCGACCTTGTGCCCTGCCCCTGGACAAAGGCATTTGTGTTTGAGTTCAGTAAGGAAGGTGCCGTTATTGTCCCTGATTAAGGATGAAGCTAAGCAGCTGCCCGGGGCTGGCCAGCCCCCGAGTGGCAGAGCTGGGGTTTGAACTCGGAGCCCAGCTCTTACCACTGCTCCGTCCTAACTCAGTTGGTTCGGTATCTTTTTCCTGCCCACACACTCCAGGGGTAAAAGACATTCCTCTTAGTAAGAGCGAGTCAAACAGACCAAGATTCTCAACAGGTGAGCGACACTCCACCTGGGGAGTTGAACAGGGATCTGTGTAAGTGACGGGGGCTGCTGACACAGGGGACTTGGGAAAACTCCCCCAGGTGGTGCTGGTAAGTGAAAGGTAGCCACGTTCTCCCCGAACATGAGGACACCCCATTGTCATCTCTGAGGCGGTTTTCCTCGCAACTTCTGGATGGTGGACGCAGGTCCGATCAGGGTCTTTCCCAGGAAGTATACACAAGGGGCCTGGGGAAAAAGCCAGCCTCTCCGACTCAGCGCTTGCCCTGACCCAGGCGAGCTACCGGCCCTGTTCTCTGTGCAGCCTGCTACAGGCTCCGGCAGGGCTGGGACCAGAGTGAGAAAAGCCACGTCTCTCCTGCCTCCCAGGAGCCCACGCTGGTGAGAATCTGGGTGTGTCCTTCAGGAGCTGGGGCACCCTGGCTGAAAACCCCTGCTACACCGCCACTGCCCTTGAACCCTACCTGTCAGGCCAGCTCCAGCCGCGCCGAATAGCAAGGTCATGACAGCTACGCCGGCCGTTGACCCCAGGGCTGCCGCCCCAGCACTGCCAATGATTGTCGCAGCTCCGGCGGCAACAAGAGGGGCAGCTAGGCCCCCGGTCACGCCTGCAGGGAGAGCAGCAGGTAGAGCTGGGAGTGAGGATGTGGCTTGGCAGGGCCTTACCCTATCAGCTGCCCACGGCCTCCCATGGAAGCTTCTGGCAATGCTAATGAGCACGTTGACTTCTGTCTGAGTACCTACCACACACCAGGGGCCACCTCCCAGCCAACCCTCTGCGCTCTCCGCTCTTACCTCTCGATCTGCGTGGCCCCACCACCATCTCCGGCTGGCCTTACCGATCAACGTTCCGCCTCCAACAGTGGCCAGGCCTATCAGGAGACAGCGCTTCCATTTCCTCCTGTTTTCTCTCTTCTTCCGGGCTGCCTCAGCCATCCTGGGGAAGAAGTGGTTGGTCTTTAGGGCCAGCTGTCCCCAGGCTCCTTGGAGACGTCCCTGCCTCACCAACCCCAAACTGGGGCCCATGCCAGGTAGGTGCTCCGTCATGCAGAGTCAGGTTCTGAAGTCTCCTGCGGCTCATAGATGGTTTTACAAGGTGAAAACATTCTAAAACACAGACTGGGAATCTCAGCGTATGGGATGTGCTACTTACCCAATGGATCCATCCTAATAGGGTTGCAATTTGAATAACGAAAAGACAAAAAGATAATAGTAATAATAGCGAGAGAAATACAAAAAATATCTTTAAACAGATGGACCCAGAACAAGTACAAAATAGAATCACAGACTCCATCACCTTCCTCCCTCCTTCCTTTCTCCCCTATCCTGCCATCTGACCCCCCCTCCCTCTGGGACATTTGGAAACCAATTCCCTTCGGGACAATCATTTCGAGGATGGGTTAGAGGAATGTCTGTATGGGAGATCTCGGCCTTGGAGCAATAGCTGGTCTCGTTCACTTTAAATTTAAACGCTAGAAAATCTAGCAGAAGGAAAGTGTTTGGAATGAATTGGGGTCAGGCGAACCCTGAGAAGCATGGCTGTGAGTGATCGGGAGTGACAAAGCCCAGTCTTCCCATTGGACGTTCAACCCTCAGCCGCTCTGTTGAAAGTGGGACAGAGCAGTCATTACGTGGGAACTCTGAACCGAAGTTGGAGTTTGGACAACTCGATGAGGAGTGATAGCAGAGGATGGTGATAATAAAAGAAGAAAAGTGGTTAATATTTACTGAGGGCTTCCTAAACTCCAGCCACTGTGCTTTGTACTTCACAGGATTTATCTTATCCGAAGAAGGAGAATTATTATTGTCCCCATATTACACATGAATTAGGGCATAATAGTTACCTACCTCCCCAGGGACTGTGGAGTCTATTAATAGACTATAAAGCATTTAGCATGGTGGTTGGCACACCACAAGCACGGACCAAAGCAGCTGTCGTCATAATGACACTGCGCCCCCCAAGCCTCAGTTTCCTCTTTTGCAAAATGGGGACAATATTAATAACACATACCTCATAGGGTTGTTGGTTTGTAAGGATTAAATTCATTCCTTCTTCACTCAGTCAATAAAGTTTTATCGAGAATTGAGGCCGTCCTGGCACTTTTGGGAGCTGCATCTCCGTGAGCAGAAAAATGCTTGTGCTCAACCAGTGCCTGTTTCCCTCCCATCTCCCTGCTCGTGACCCACACGTTTTACTGAGAAATAGCTCATTCTCCAGTCATCTACGAGAAATGGGATCTGAGCTGGGCATTCAGGGGTCTGCTGTGCCTTTTGGTTTCTTGCCAACAAACTTTCTTCCTAAGCACAGCACTTCTCAGTGGCTGCCTCATAGAGGAGCAGAAACCAACAGCAGAGATCTCTTCGCACACCGTGGGTGCACTAGCAAAGTGGAAGGCAGGATGATGACCAAGATGAAGGGGTCTAGCATGAGGGTTAGACGTTCACTGTCAACGTGGGCTTGAATCCTCACTCTGTTGTCATGGTGTCGCCCCCCACCATTTAGTTATTCCTCTCTGCGGAAAGATTATATGTCCCTGTCCTGTCGAACCGAGGGGTCACACGACCAGCTTTAACCAATAAAACGTAGGTGCAGGTGATGTGTGTCACTTCCAGCAGAATCTTTAAGGGCCAGTACGGGAGGCGGATACGTCTCCTTTCTCTCTGTCCTGAGACCAGCAATAATCCACACAGGGGTCACTCTGTCAGCCTGGGACCCAGAACCAAGACAGCGTGAGTTACAGCTACCATCTGCAAGGGATACGTAGTATAAATAAGAAATACACCTTTGATGCTGTAAGCCATTGAGATTTGTTACAGCAGCAAAACCCAGCCTATCCTGCTGCATAGGACCATGTCCTAGCTTTGTGACTATCCACGAATTGCTTGTCACATCTCAGTGTCTTCATCCAACAAATGGGAGAATGACAGTACTTAATTCCCAGGGGTGTTGCGAGGACTAAATGAATATGATCCACACACGGTGACTGGCATCTTGCCCCACAAACCCCGGCAGGAGGGCGTTCAATAGTCGTTCCATATGTTTGTTGCTGTTATCAGTCCTTTATTATTACAATAATTTCCTCCTAAACACAGGCTGGGGATATACTTTGATCTTTCATTGCCTTGACCCTTAGTTGATGATTCTTAATTCAGTTCAAACAGGAAGGCTGGAGATTACTGGCTTTCGGCAGAGTCCAAGGCCTGAGAAAAAACTCAAGCTGGTGACAATATATGACAGGAACGTGCCAGGGGACTGGCGGTGTGGCTCTGTGAGTCAGTGGCATCTTGAGTCAACAAACACAGAAATAGTCTGGACATTTGGGGAAGAGGTACTTGAGTCCAGCTCCGCCATGATCTTGCTGGGCCACCCGGCTTTTCTAACTCGTGATTTTCTCCCTCAGGACACGTAAACGTGGAATGGCCACGTGGAAGGGTGACGAGAGGGACTGCCACAGCCGTGTCAAGTAGGAAAGCACACAACCTGACGGCCCGCCTCCCTCTCTTCCTCCCTTCCTGCCTGCCCTGCTGCCTTTGGGACACTGTCGCCTCCCCCGCATGACACTCAGGCCCCTGCCTCCTCCAGCTTCATCTTTCCTCATTTCCTGACACTTTCCCCTCTGGAAACACTGAACCGCCTGCAGGTACCCTGTCCTCAGTTCCTGTCTTCCTCAGGCCCTTGGCCATCAAGGACCTTCTCACCTTCCTACATCTAGTTCAACATTCTCATCCTGACATCGGCGTCACCTGACGTGTGACACCTCCTCCAGGAAGGTGTCACCCTGAAATGCCCTGACTCTGGGCCCCTCTAACCCTCTGTACCACACTACCCTGCAATTCCACACCAGTGATTTTCAAAGGGTGGGCATTGGAATCGCCAGGGCGTCTCTCTTTAAAAACACAGCTTCCTGGGCCAGGATCTCTGGGCGTGAGAGTGAAGAATGTGTATCTGTAACAAGCTCCTCCAGGATTCTGCTGTATCTCGAGTCTGAAAATGGCTGGGCTAAACCTTCAGGGTGTAGGCGAAGCCGTTTCCAGCCCTCAGTAGCTTGTCCTGGGCTTAGAACCTGGAACCTCAGAACATTTTTCATGAACAGAACCTAATTATTCCAACAAGGATTGGAGGTGGCCAGCTCGCTGCGGGGATATACTTGATACACTCCCCCACTCGCTGTCTACGTCTATGAAAACCGGAGGGGCACAGGATGGACATCTTGGCTAGATGCAAATATGTAGCCAGAGTACAGGCCAGTCACCACCCAAATGGAAACTTCTGGGATATTAGAACAAATCTGAAATGTCAGAAAATTTTCATGATTATTACAGATTTATTATTAAGAATGTAGACAAATTCTTGAGTTAGTGCTACCGACATTTCTCAGCACCATCTGCTTCTAGGTTGTTCCTGCAGTGACACCTGCCCATCTCTGACACTAGACAGTCATCACTTTTAGATGAGTTTGATGAGGGGGAAGATCCATGGCCTAAATGGAATAAAATAACTAAAAAGGAAATACAGTCTTTGAAGGCAGTTTTATTT